GTCAGTTGCTGGTAAATTTGTAAACTAAGTCTAATGCAAAATACCTCGGACTAGTTCTATCTTCCGACCTTACTTGGTCATCTCGTACCCTAACGATTTCTAGGAAAGTGTTCCGTCTAGCCTACCACATTGAGAAACCTGGACTATCTGGAATCACTTAATCTCTACTTCCACAATTTGTCAACTCTCGTATCTTACCTATTCTACTCTGCTCTACTGCTCCCCATTAGTCTTTCCTGGGCTACTGAAAAAGGACTATACCATCCTGAGAAGGATGTTGAAGGTAGTTAGTAGGACTAGTGGTGTAAAACTCAGTCAACTCGTCACTACATTAGTAGAAAGGCATCTGAATGCATGCGAAAAATGGTCTAGAACCATACTCTCCGACCCCCAGCACCCCTTCTATTCCCAGCTCTCTCCTTGTATCTCTTCAGGTAGAACGAGAAATCAGTACAAAATAATATATGCTCGTACAACCAAGTACAGGAACTCAACGATACTGTATTCTGCCCGTGTTCTAAGTGACAGAGACAATGTTAAGCGCGAAACCTATGACTTGCTTTGTTGTTAATAACATAATTTTGGCTCTTTAATTTCTCTCCTATTTGTACTCTATAGTGAACACCTTCTTAAACATACTGAGCTACCTAAATTATTAACATTGGCTTACGTTTTTTTGTACTTTACTCTATTCCTTCTTTTGTGTATCTACTGGCTCCGACTATATTATCACTATGATTATTACAAAATTGTCCTGTCATCAACCTTTATGTTATATTAGTTTTGTAGTTGTTTTTTGTTCGGCAATATTTAACTGACAGTCTTGGTTGTGAACGCCGTTATCACCATCCTAAAATTTTTGTATTATGCAGGATTACTCATACTACCACTACAAAGACCGCATTAGAGCTGACAAATAAAAAAAACCTGAAATGTTTGTTTTATGATTGTTTAGTGTTGATCAATCAAATTAACTGATCATCATGGCTATAAACGTTCTTAATATCATTTCATAACTTCCTGTATGATGATTATAGTTTTACTGTTCACCACGCATACACATATCATAGCTTCCACTACCCAATACTGAGTTATTATTTATTATGTTGTTTATTTTCCATTCTACTTCTTGGTATTTTTTCGCATTTTCTTTGCTATTTTGTGTTTTTTTTGTTTTGTTCATGTTGTTTTTATTATTTATTTTTTGTAATACTCCTTTTAAATGTGCGATGAAATTAGATGCAATATTGTGAATATGTGCTGAAAATTCCACACTGTACCACTAGTACTGTTTCTGGAGTAAAGCAAATTATTATTATTATTAACTTCTAATTCTACTTCTCTAGAGTCATCGAACCATACTACTTGCATGAATCATTATCAGTTACAGTTACGGCCATGTATAATCCCCGAAAAAAATACATTATGTAAACCAATAAATCAGTGAATATTGTTGTACCGAAATCCTTGCAACCATTAAACTAAGATGGCGAAGTCGTAAACCAGTCATATTCGTTAGTTTAAGCAGATATCCGGTGTAAGTTTATCGACATGAACACACCAATGTCACATTGTGAATTGAATCGATTCGGTCCTTTTATATAACTACAAACTATATTACTCATCAACATTAAGACTCAAAATTGAGCTATTCTTGGTCTGTTGAAATGAAATTGCAGGCGTATGTAACCTCCTCTTCATAATAGTAGTAATAGTAAGTCATGAGTGATTTATGCACTATAAAAAAGCAATATGAAACTCACTTTATTTTCCTCTCAGATTATAAAAAACCTTATGGCGGCCTGCTTAAATCGCTAGGCTACTTAAATATTTTATCCATGAAAATTCATCGTGTTTACTGTGTTTCATATTGCTTCAATGATCTAATTACCTTAATGAATCATAATTCAAACTCGCTCAGTGTTTGAAATTAGGTTTTACCTACTGCTAGGAGCTTTTCCGAAGAGAATGGAGAAAGAACATTGTCAAGTAGTACTGGAGTATGCTCCTGGTGAAAAAATATTGCCTCAGATGATATATATATATATATATATATATGCATTAACGGCAAAGTTAATCACAATTCGTGCAATGTGAACGCACGAGTGACCTTGAGCTGACCAATCAGAAAACACAGTGACTTCTGCATAATAATGACATTTACTTACAAAATAAATTTAGAAAATAATGATAAAATGCATTAAAGAGGATAATTCTACCTGACATGTCTTGAAAATACTCCCCGATGATATCGAGGAATATCAATTTTTAAGTTAGACCAGTTTCTGTATATGTATTCCCCCCAGGTAACCGAAGATGACTCTTTCATATGACTCATTTATCGCTCCTATCCCCCGTTTTTCATTCCTCTCTCCAATAGCCATTGATATACTAGGAGAATGTGGATAATAAAAATAAATAATACCGACCTGAAACCAAACCCTAAGGAACTATAAATGCATTGTGCAGACAGTACATAAAAACAAGATTGGCATAAAATTTGCACCTGACTTCATGAATACCGTTCATAATGGCCTTACAATAATAATAATAATAGTAGGTCTCGTTGTCCGGTCATTGCAGCGTTCGCAATCCTGTGCCGTGATACTTTAACTTTCTTTTTATTACAGCTTGAATCCACACTGTATTTTTGGTACAAGTATGGAATTTTCAGCATGTGATATCGGTAGCCCAAATTTTGCAGGCTGACCATAGATATCAGGGGTGCGTTGGCAGGGGATCGAGCCTTGAACCATGTGCGTGGTCGGCGAGAGTCCTAACCACTGTACCACCGACGCACTTAGCCATACTATTAGCTATTATATTATTTAAAGATTCTACATATGGAGTATATACCATGCAGTGACATTCGCTGAAAATGCTGTACTGTATATGTGCGCATTTTTCAGAGCAATGCTGTAACGACAGAAGACAAGGGCAAGGCAACAAATGATTTATTGAGAAATTCAAGATATATTTATAGATTTTTATGTACATTATTATTAGCATTATTGATAGCAGAGAAGCAACGTCCTCTGATTGGTTGATTGTTTACCTTGATGAAGGTTATTCAGTAATGCTCGTGACCGTTTCTTATAAAGTTAAGCCATATATCTGCAAATCGTATTCGCACACGTTAAGCCTACTGTGATTGGTTGGTCGGTGAGTTCCTCAAGGTTAAGTTTTGCTATTGTTGTAGTTTTTCTCATGAACCGTATTAGGGACGTAAACATTGAAGTAAATTGTTGTCTACAATTTTGGCTTTCAGACAGCACTCATCACAATGCTACCATTACTATTATTAGACAATAATTTGAAAAAATGCAGACGATTCTTAACGGACGTGTTAGTTTCTGATGTGTATTTGTATTCTCTGAGCTGGTTGGTCTAACTGCAACGATTTCAACTGCCCTTTCGCTACAACATCTTCAGAGTCTAATTCACATTTAAATGAATGCTGAAAATGTTGTCTAGACGGATAGGGCAAGCCTCGGAATTGAATTACCTAGTTCGGAGAAGACAACCACATCAATTTATTATGAGTTAAGTAATGAACAAGACACTTTCATCGTCCTTTACTGAATTTCATGGAAAACTTCTTTCTGGTTTTTGGAATGATCTGCACAAGATAGTTCAAAAAGTTAGTAGATTGTCAATCAGTGACTATAGGATTATACCTTACAGCATTATTCTGCCTTAGTAATTCCCACCTTGCCTATCTCGAAGTAAACTGTCCAGGCTAAGAGTAATATATGGTGAGCAAGACAGAATCAGATATCTGATATCGACGGTTATCGCACTTAAATAATCAGTATTAATTGATATGTTACATGTTCAATTTACGACATGACAGTGAAAACACACTTGCACACATGGTCAAAATTCGAATCTGTAATCTGTTTCAGGGAAATACAAAATAAAGTATTTATGTGAATTGAACCTGAATTCTTAGTTGATGTCTTGCCTTGCTGTTTGATGATTCTCGAGAACGTTCATCATAAATGGTGTTATTGATTTAAGATGCCTATTAGAAATATCAAAAGATTGATTGTTGAATAAAGAACGTTCCCTTCGATAACTTCTTCATCAGGTTCTACAGTTGTATATCCATCATAATTAAAGAATATATAGCTTTTTCAAGTATTGCTTTTGTAGGGATTTTATTTGTTTCATTGCTTGAAGGATTTCATCATGAGCTGACATCAGTTAGAGAACCATTGGAAAACCTGGAAGTAATGAACACCTGTTTCGTCGGCCTAGTTTGGGATTCTTCACAGTACGCATCCACCACCAGGGTTTGAACCTAGGACTTTCTGGTAACAAGGCGAGCTAGCTCGTAAACCATTCAGTTACTGGGACCCGATTCAATGGCTCATGAGTTCTAACCTCTACCAATTCGTGATTTAGCATAATCAACTCGTAAAATCAAATTTAATCCTTACAAAACAACTATAGAAAATTAATCTGATGCTCATTAGTGCCTTGCCACAAGATGAAGTTCATCTGGAATTCTAGTGAAAAGTTATGACTAGTGAGGTCCATCCAGTAAAGTGTGAGGATGGATGTCCCACTGATGAAATTGTTTGGGATCGCGAGCTGCCCATGTAACCGGAAGGTTCTGGGTCTCAACCCTGGTGGTGAGTGCGTACTGGCAATGAGTCCCAAACTAGGATGAAACAGCTAGCTGTCCAGTACTCCAGTGCTGGTTTTCAAATGGTTCTCTAACTAATAGCAATCCGTGATCAACTCGTCAAATCAAATCATGTCAGTGATAACACGTTCTTGGCTAATTCATCATTAGACTTCCTTGCTGTTTATCTTTTATGGTCAGCCATCTGATCTTTCGTTGTTTCGAACCAGAAAACAACAATTGATGAAAGCTTACAACAGTAATTTCTTTACATTAACAAAAAACTTAAATTTGTACTGAAGTGATACCTTCAATATAATTCATGTTTGCCTGTTTACTTGTTTCTTTTCTTTTCCTCCTTTTTTTCTAGGTTGTCGTTGAAATTCGATATCGTCCACGTTTATACAGACGGAAACGTTCACTGACAGAAGGCGATAAAATGTTATCAAATGTTTGTCCATCTACTGGACATCATTTTGGTTGTTGTACACAACCATTAACTGTAAAATTTTCAGATATTGGCTGGGATAATTGGATTATACAACCGAAAGCTTTTCAATTAAATTATTGTCTTGGATCATGTAAAAGTGAGTCATTCATGATGGTGATTTCTTTCATTAGAATAATGTTTTGCTCTCACTTGTAAATTTATCAATGGGGAACTTATATTTTAAATTATAGTGACTAGTTGTAAATAAACAGTATTATATGTTTTATTATTTATTATTCCCTTGAGTTCCCAGTGGAATATATGGCTTCAACAACACATCTCCATTTTGTTCTGTTTTCTGCCGTCCTCTTCAGCTGGGTCCACGATTGCCCATAATCTTTCATCTGCTCTAAGTCACCCTGTCACTGACGACCCACTCATCGCTTCCCATTGGGGTTACACTCTAGTCTAACCTGCATTGCGCGTGACGTTATTCTATGGTCTCCTCAGTGGCGCATACCTGATCCATCTCCATTTTCGCCTACATATTTGTTGAACAATCGGCTCTTGCCTCTTGGTTTGTGTCCAGCCATAGATTCTTGCTGATGATTCTTTCTAATCGGCCATTTGATCTTCAGTATGCAACCATCGAACGCAGATGTGGATAAAAGTCTGCAATAGAGTGTTGGAAATGCTTTTTATGCTGCGCAGTGCAAGTTTATCACCCGTATAAAAGAACTGACTGACTAACTTCGCATCTTGTTCGAATCTTGTTTCAGGTTGATGAAGGTGCATTTTGCCTTTTCAAAAATCTATCTACCTTTGACATCTTTATCCGTTCCGGCTGCCTGTGGTTGAAACGATGTTTCCCAGAAAAGTGAAGGAAGTGAGTGACCTCTTATAAATCTCTCCCGTTGATGGTAATTAGTGCTGGTTGTAGTTGCTGTTGATGGTTGGTTATCTTCATCACTTTCGTCTTCTCTATTGGTGGATGGTGGTTAGCATTGGAATCCAGGATGCGCGTTTCGTCCTAATTGGGACTCGTCACTGGATGTACCTGCATTTCTCAGTGAGTGATGATGTTCCCACCGAGGCTCGAACCCAGTGCCCATAGTTTCAAACGCCAAAGCGTTATCCACTAGACCACTCGGGCCACGAGATCCACCTCTTGTGCAACGGGTCACATTAATTATTGAATTGAATTTTTGATTTTCCCGTCGATTGATTGGACCGAAGTGCTCGGTCTCAGGTTGACATGTCGGCTTCTTGTGCAGATGCTTCGACGATGTCTGGAGATTTGATTTGTATACAATTGGTGGATGGTGGTTAGCAGTGGAATCCAGGATGCGCATTTCGTCCTAATTAGGACTCGTCCACCATCCACCAATTGTATACTTATTAAATGCCCAGACATCGTCGAAGCATCTGCACAAGAAGCCGACATGTCAACCTGAGACCAAGCACTTCGGTCCAATCAATCGATGGGAAAATCAAAAATTCAATTCAATAATACCGATCTGTTAAGATCAATGAAATTATAGTTGGAAAAGGATGGATAAATGACAACGGAGAAGATTTCTACCCCAGGTGGATGATTTTTTATGTGTTATGTTCTCTAAGTTAGTTGATTTACTCTTGAGGCTTTCGTTAACTTTCTAGACAACATATTTCAGAGCAGACTTTAGTATTAAATGAATTTATTTGAATTCTGCATGAATGATAATCTAATTGTATTTCCTGGTAATCACTGTTGTATCTGGTTGTTAAATTGCTTGCCTATTGATCGTTTTTACTGCACTTGAATTCAAATGATATTGTCATGTGAATTCGGTCTATAGAAGTAATATGTTTGTTAATCGCTGGCTAATTCACTTGAGTACCAGGCTTCTAGAAATTCCCTCATTGCATTTTTGGTGTTTCCTCTACTTAAAAAATTCTACATTATCCTAATCAAATTGCTGTCCATAATTACCCACATGCATCGATAATAAATAATGGATGTCATGTCATTTTTCTGTGCATCTGTGGCACAGTGTTCAGGACTCTCGCCAACCATGTACATGGTCCAGGATTCGATCCTCTGCCAGCTAACACCTGATATGAGTGGTTGGCCTACACAATTTGGGCTATCGATATCACATGCTGAAAATTCCATACTTCTATCAGAAATACGGTGTGGAATCAAGCCATAATTATTAAAAACAAAATGAAAAAATTTATGTCATTGGATTCGGATTTGAAGGGAACACCCACTATGACTGATATAATGTTCGTTGAAGTCCAAACAACTTACTTGGCAAACGCTATTAATTTCATCTTTTGTGCTGTTCAGTGTTTTGGTTTGGAGTGATTGTAATAGCTGGATAGCCTGTGTCCTGTATCTATTTCTCATAGTCTTAATATTCTAACCGTTTTGATTCTAACATATTTTTTTTATTAATGGAAAGATGAATTTTCTTGTCGTGTTTGATGATATTTTCTTGTCAGTGCAATTAACAAATACATTACTTCCATAGACCAAATTTAGCAACTAATAAAAAATGAATCACGTGACAACAGAGTTCGAATTCTAAGTTAATTAAATACTGATCAATAAAGAGATAAATTAACACCAGTCACAACAATGGTTGCCAAAAGATACAATTATATCATTATCATTACCATCATCAGTCAAGCGGAGAATTCAAATGAATTCATTTTAATACCAACAACCTGCGCTGAAGATGCTGTCTAGAGGTACTGTAACAACAGAAGACAAGGGCTGGCAACAGATCGTTTTATTACGAAAATCAACACGTATTTATATATATTTTATGTACACTAATAAGGCTTATGCAAGCAGAAAAAGGCAGTCTTCTGATTGGTTGTTTCTTGGAAGTTAAGCAGACAAACACAGTCTTCTGATTGGCTGTTTTCGATATTTCTCGGAAAGTAGAACCACTTATCTGCAAATCATATTTGTCCACGTTTAAGTTTACTGTGATTGGCTGTTGAAACAGCCTTGTTCATATTTTCTCACGGCCCATATTAGTGACCTAGACATTGACGTAGATTGATGTCAACCAATCGGCTAGCAGCCGGCTCTCACCACAGTACGACGAAAGTTTCGCAATTCAATCAACCAGCTCACAGAACACAACAAAAGTCAAAATGAATAAGCTATAATAAGCATAGGAATGTAATAGTAAATAGAATATCAAATAAATTGAAAGCCTCCTCGTTAACATCAATTTTGTGTTTTGTATCCACAAGAGGATATAGTATAGAAATATGAATGGAATCAGTTTATCTCTTGCTTAACAACTCAGGATGGTGTTTGGAAATCTGACGATAAACGCACCCCCAATTGTATGACCTGTGTAGCCGACTCCATTAAGTAGTCGATCTTTTACTCCCGAAAACAAAATATGGGCAGTTTTGATGACACAGCATAATTCAGCAGCAATGAATGCTCTTTTTACCACTGTTTTCCTTAAGCTTTGTGTTAATAACTCATTGATATTATCCGTGAGGAACTGAAGCAATAGGAACAAGGCCTTTTTTCAGAACTGTTGGTACTTTGGGCTGCTTTGATTTTTGATTCATATTCCTGTCGATGAATTTTTTTATAGATAACCATGCTCACTCAGCAATTGTTTAATAATATTAAGTTCTTCATTAAGCCATTCATCAGAGCAGATTGATCTTGCTCTATAGACCAATCACTTTATCAAATTGTGTTTGTTTTTCAAAGATACGAGGCTGAAAAATGAGTATACTGAACAGGTGATATAGGTTTTCTATATATACTTCCTCTTATTATAAAGTCCTCCTTTCTATTCATAAGAACGTCGAGGAATGAACTATTAGAATTTCTTCTTTCCTAGATGATAAATCAATATTATTTAGAAAACCAGCAATTATTGTTAATAATGATTATTATAGAATATTTTATATATGCATATATGAACCTGTTTACTCGTCATGCAGAAGGTGGGCAAACAATCACCACCATTTCTTCAAATAAAATTACTTTTAACAATGTCCAGCAAAATCGAACATCAATAACAGACTAAGAGTAATGAGTCAATCTTTTATGTTCGATTACGTAATCAGACGATTTATCATAAAGTTTTGAATAGGACACTTATGAAAGCGTACAACCAATTGTTGAAGGTATTCAGTATCAGTGATATCATCATTGGTAGATGTTTCTACAGATTTCTGTGAAGACTGTCTATAATAACTCTGCATTACACTATACATTCATCACTGATTGATCGATCGATTTGAATCGTTGAGTAGTACTCATGTCAGCCAAAAGCGCTTCTTAGACAGGCAGACTAAAGTCATCTAAATACAAGATGGTGGTTTCACTCGTCTAGGACTGAGCTTATCATCTGCATAACGCGTATGACTTAGCTCAGAAGGCTGAATTATTCCAAGCCACTCAAATTCTGCTCAATTAGTTAGTTGGGTGAAATGATGATATCTATAGAAGCCTTAACCAGTAGGGTACAGCAGGTTGAAGATGAAGCAGTAACTCATCGAAGAAGACATTGCGAAATGGTCGGGTTATGTCATGAATCAGCAGAAGTTAGAATTCAAGGACCACTGGATCGGGTCCTAGTGGCTCAATGGTCTACGAGCTCGCCTTGTAACCAGAAGGTCCTGGGTTTGGACCCCGGTGGGTGCGTACTGATGAAGAGTTCCAAACTAGGACGCAGGGAACAGCTTTCTAGTACTCCCAGGTTTTCCAGTGGTTCTAGAAATAATGTCAGCCCATGATGAAATCCTCCATGATATCTATAGAGTCAAATCTAAAGCTATTGCTTTAGAAAAAACACAATTATTACCAGATTGGCAAAATAATGAATCTTGTGAATTATTCCTTTGATTGAGTAATGCATTTTAAACTTTGTGAAACAGAAATTTTGTTAGGTGATTCATTTTCCCCTGAATTTATCGCAGATAATTCTGTTTTAAAATAATAATAATAATTGATAAGCTAGATGGCATTCTCCAGCTAATACAATAAAAGTAGTCATACACTAACACTGACCAATCATATAGATCTGTTTATTGAATATATCGCGCAGTGGAATAGTATTATCTACTGATATAAGATGGTTGGAGGCAGTCAGCAGGAAGAGTTGGACCTAAGTTTCCTGCTAGTTGGCATGCACCAGTCAGCAAGGTGTATCTGCTACCCTGAAGTAACTTATACCTCTCCTGAGATTCGAACCTGCACCAGCGAATGCTGAAGTCAGAGACTGGTACACCGCCGCTATTGTGACTCGCGATTGACCTCCTGTAGGACTGTATTGGATACTTTGATTGGAAACTAATTAGTAACTAGTGTAGTTCTATCAGTCAAGTATGAAATGTGGTCACCATGCCACAAGGTGGATCTCAATCACAGTGCACTGTTAATTGTTGAGGTTTTGGTACCATCAGTTCTAACCATACAACTTCGGAACTTTCATTTTATAGTTTTATCTATTGCTTCCTATTCGTCGAAGGGGTGGCAGAATTTTCCAGGTGTCCAGGTGGACACCTATTGTATCACTTCTATTACAAATAACCTTTAAAACCTAATAATTACCCCAATTAAATTAATCAAGAAGTATGCCGGAAAGTGTAAAAATAAAATCAACAACAACAATTATCACAGTGAGAGATACTAATAACGACAATTATAATGACGATATGCATGGCAAACATGCACAGATTAATGACAACAACAGGAGGAAATTTAAATCATCAATATTATTATTATTCTCTTGCGTTCCGCGTGGAACTTAGCGCTTCAACTACACATCTCCACTTTGTTCTGTTTTCTGATGTGCTCTTCAACTGGGTCCACGATTGACCAAACTCTCTCATCTCTTCCTCACACGATCTGCCCCATGTCACCCTCGCAATGACACCGACTTTTTGCTACCCATTCGGATTCCACTTGAGGACCTGGCTCTCGATGTCATTCAGTGGCCTTCTCAATGTGTGCCCGATCCATCTCCACTTTCTCCTACATATTTGTTGAGCGACCGGCTCTTGGTCGGTTTGTTCCCAGACACAGTTTCTTGATTCTTTCTAATCGGCCATTCGATCTTCAGTATGGAGCGAAGGCAGCTGTTGATGAAAATCTGCAGTAACCTGTTGGAAATTCTTTTCGTGAAACACCGGCCAAAATTTCTAATCCGTATGGAAGAACCAACTTCACATTGATGTTGAAAATGCTGAGTGAGGAAGATTTCCAAACCGGTTTCACGTTGATGAAGGCGTATCTTGCTTTTCACATTCTGACTCTGATATCGTCGTCCGTTCCTGCTGTCTTTGTTGAAACGATGCTTCTCAGCCAGATAAGTGAAGGAGGCAACCGCTGTTAAATCTCTCTCATTGATGGTGATTAATGCTGGTTGTTGTTGCTGCTGATCGGTTATTTTCATCACGTGGAGTCCTGTTTTTGCTGTCAGCCTCTTTTGCCAGTGTGTTGGTTTTCGCTTGCAAGTTTTCGACTTTTTGTGACGTTAGATACATACCATCTGCGAAATCCAGATCTTTTAGAGTCTTCTTATTGGTCGTCTAGCGTATTCCTGCCTTATCGCCCCCAAAAGTCTGACAAATAATCCAGTCCACCACAATTTAAAAATATCATCAGTGATAATAAAGTCATCAATAGTACTTCCATCTAAAGAAAGGAACCTTGGCAAACTTATGTAGATTTCTCAACAGTGCAGGAATAAAAGTGGCATTCAAACCCATAAACTCATATAAAAACAAGTTTTCTTGGCTTAAAGATCCTGTGGAGCCAATAAAACAAAACAATTTAGTTCATCGAATACCCTAGTGGGATGATTGTCAAGTCAAATACATACGGTAAAGTAGTAGAACCGGGGTCGTTGAGACTGGTGGAGTATATAAACCTAGAAGCGAAATCTAGATAAGTTGACCCGAATAAATTAAGAAATCTGGAGAATAGATCAGCTATAGCATCACATCAGGTTACATACTACCATACACTAAGATGGCATAAGATGAGTATTCAAGGATCTAATATAACAGGATGGATAGAGAGATTGATAACGGAAGCTTTGTTTATCGAGTCAACTGCAAACACATGTTTATAGAATTGATTCAACATCTGTCCACTGGCACATGTGGAAAATTCTACCACCTCTACGACGAATAGGCAGGAATGATTGATGATATGCTTATGAACAATGAATTGTCTTCTAAGTGCCATCCAGGAAGTAATCCTGTTTCACTGTGTGACCTATCTAATGAATAAAATAATATGCTCAAGTTTTATACTTGTATCAATCGGCCAATCAACTTAACTTTGCAAAATCATCAACAGTAGTGTTCAAAGTCTTAGGACTGTAATAAATTATTCAGTTAGGACATTTAATAATGTCTAAATCATTATTTTCGTTTAAGTTAATCTTAAATTTCCTGTTCATTCATGATACCGGACCGAAGTGTTAGATCTGTGTTGACAGAAACATAACGGGTAAAAATAGAATGAAAATTTAATCATGAGCTGACATCAGTTAGAGAACCACTGGAAAACCTGGGAGTACTGGACAGCCGTTTCGTCCTAGTTTGGGACTCCTCAGCAGTACGCACCCACCGGGATTCGAACCCAGGACCTTCTGGTTACAAGGCGAGCTCGTAGACCATTGAGCCACTGGGACCCGATCCAATGGTCCTTGAATTCTAACTTCTGCCAGTTCACGACATAGCGCGACCACTTCGCAATGTCTTCTTCGATGAGTTACTGCCTCATCTTCGACGAGCTCGCCTTGTAACCAGAAGGTCCTGGGTTCGAATCCCGGTGGGTGCGTACTGCTGAGGAGTCCAAAACTAGGACGAAACGGCTGTCCAGTACTCCCAGGTTTTCCAGTGGTTCTCTAACTGATGTCAGCTCATGATTAAATCCTCCATGCAATCAAACAAAATCCCTACAAAAACCAATACTTGAGAATGAAAATTATTTAAAGCCCTGTTGTTAAAGATATTCCCCTCGAAGCCTAAAGGATAACGCTTTGGCTTATGAATCAATAAGTGCAGGGTTCCAGTCTCAATGAGGACGTCATCACTCTTTGAGGATTCAGGTACATCCAAATGAGGAGTCCTGAAGAGTACAAAATTCCCAATCATGGATTCTACTAATAGTTAATGCAACGGAATAATTGTCTGGAAAATTCCTAAACGGTATAATTTAAAGATATAAGTATAAAACTTGGGCACTGTGGTAGAGTATAACTCCTATACAATTCATTAGGAAGATTGAAAAGGCGAAAAGCAAAATAAAAATGATTGTGAAACTAGTAATGATAACATAAACAAGAGAGAATGTAAGTCATCCACTGTTATCCTATATAAGGAGGGGACATCTGAGACCCTACGTAGGATTCTAAATAAGGCAGGAATTAGGGTGGCATTCAAACCTACACACCCACTCAGAGACAAGCTCTGTAGGCTAAAAGACAGGGTGGACCCAATTAGACAAAATAATATAATTTACAAAATACCCTGCAATGACAGTGAGGTCAACTATATAGGTGAAACTAGTTGATCGGGGTAGTCAGATTGGCAGAACATCAGAATTTAGCTAAGGTTAGAATGATTCATCACATCCTCGAAGATAAGTAATTTTAAAAACAGCTCAGCAATTGCACTGAATGCACTAACACACAACCTCACACAATAGGGTGGGAGAGAGTTAAGATTCTAAGAAGTAATCTATGTAGGTGGAGAGCGAGAAAGGTTGATTACTGAATCCTTGTTCATCGAGTCTACACCCAACACATGCAACAGAAATGACTCAATGCAAATACCAGAAATATGGAAGATATTATTACCACCAGTCAGTCAAATTAGAGGAGGATAATAAATAATCTCAAAATTCTATTTCAATTCAAGCACATCACAACATTCTAACAAGTGACTTATTATGATTAGAAAAACACTCGTCTTATATCCCATCTGATTGTAATTGACTAAGAACATTTATATTATTATTTCTGAATGTACATTATCTCATATTGATTTTATTCAAATATTTAATCAATTCCACTCATGTACATAAATGAAGGGAAAAGTTGTAAGAGTAACTTGATATGATTATGAGCAGCAGTAGTTTGTGCTCAAAACGTGGTCATCAGCAAATATTACTGTAAAACAGTGTGATTTGTCAAAATGAAATCTTATCCATAACGGGGTATAATTTATACATATATATACTGAGATATTTCAACTAACTTTCTAGTCATTATCCATCTTTCTCCAAGGCTGTGTATCAATGTTATGAAATTCGCATATCATATGCTGACTTGACGTTTATGGTTTGTCTTTGTCCCTGTTTAATCTCTAATTTTAATGCTTCTCCTTATGCTTATAGGATGATATCGTTAATGTGTTTTTCCGCGATATGATTTCGTTTGAGTGAATGAAGGTGACTCTGACCTTGGACTCTGTTTGGTAAACATTGGTGTGTGTGATTCTTGCTGTCGGAGTTTTAATCCCACCTTGTTGAGAATATTCCACTAGATACCAAGTACTTGGGAAATTCACTGAACCACAGAACTAGCTGACGGTACTTTTGAGAAACACAGATTCCAGGGATGAATAACCGTCTTTTTTCTGTCTTTGCAGCATTGTTTGACTCTGTGTATTCCCGGGGTGTTTCGGTCAGCTATACAATGAAACGCAGGGATGCGTTTCCTGCGTTTAGACCACAGGAAGTCGGTTTCGGTCGTAACACTAACCGTCAACTGGAATAATGTTTAAATTTGGCATTTGATTACTTCTGGTTTTGCTTAAGATGACGATATTTACGTATATATGTGTATCTTTGTCATTTGTTTTTATTAATTTCAGTTACATCAGCAAAAGGTTTACATTACGACGTGATGGATATGATATTACGCAAAAATTTATCACACTTCGGTAATATACAACCGGATGAAATACAGTCATGTTGTCATCCAACAGATTTGGCTAGTATGGTTGTTCTCTACTTGGACTCAAATCGTGAATTACAACTCCATAGATTACATAATCTAATTGTTTTAGGATGTGGTTGCAATTAATTTTTAAAAAAAAGAAAACTATTATTATTTAAGTCTATCCAACTTGTCTTTTCATGAATGAACTTGTTACTTGTGGGTTTGTATGTAAGCATGTGTAGGTTTCTGTCCCATCAATCAGTAAACTTCAATGTCATTTTTTAACTGACCATATTGATTGTATCCAGTCATACCTATCTATGAAAATATGTAATAAGTCATTATAGAATACCGTCAACTGCTCATACATTCAATGCATGAGATGTCTAACTTACAACTGATTATATTTGTTGTGAATAGTCCGTCTTTCATTTTCTTTTCTTCTTTGATTCAGCTCTTCTTTCTTCCAATAAAATCTCACCAGTCTTCATCAGTTATGATGTAAAAATGTGAATCATTCACTATTCATGTTCAAGTGTTCAATGAATATTTTGTTTGTCTACATCAATTATTTCAAACATATATAGGCATCAAGGTCATCCATTCCATTTTTAAAAAAGTTCAGTGTTGTTATTTAAAAATTCAATTCTGCTGAGTAATTCTGTTATTTTTGAAAACTACATTTTTTTATTTTACACAAATGTATTTAAATTGTACTGTAACTTATTTGATTTTAATTTAATTTCCCTTTTACTTCTGAGAGAATAAATTTCGAAGTTTCTTCTTTTTCAGTTTTCATTTTGGTTTATTTATTCATTTCAGTGTCTACTATTACTTTTGGTCATTATTATTATTATATTACTATTACCAATACGAACGTTTCGTGTTTTATTTGTTGCACGTCTTTATCCAGTTGCATAGAAAAAAGTAAAATATCATGTCTTACGCACAAGTGACCTTCAACCGACTAATTTCAAATGACCTTGAGATGAGCGATCATGAAATAGGTCATGTTTACGCACGAAAATGGCGTTTATTTACAAGAAAATGCATGACTTAAACCTACGTTCCAGTTATGAGGCGGAGTGTCATTTATTAAGTCAGACCAGTTTCTGTAAATGTATTCACCGAGATGACTTAATGTGAGCTTTTTTTATGACCCATTTATCACTCTTCTCCTGTTTTGCAGTCTTCCCAAAAGCTCTTGGTTGAATTACCATGGTTTCCACCAAGAGGAGCGACGACTTATTACTGGAAAAATTTCGATAATAAAACAAATTAATATGAATGAAACCAACTCCAAACCTATCACTAATCAGAACCGGCACCTTAATCTTAACCCTTCCATATTAGTTTGTTTATTAGATGTATCACACAGTGAATCAGTATTATTTACTGGATGACACAGTTTCGAACAAAATTTATTGTTCATAATCATTTCATCAATTATAATCACACGACTTTGAAACTTGAGTTTTATAGTTCTCTTTGTAATCTCCTATTTGTCGCAGAGGTAGTAGAATTTTCCAGATATCTGAATGGACAGGTGTTGAATCATTCCTATAACACGTGTTTGAAGTTGATTCGATAAACAAAGCTTCTGTTATCAATCTCTCGCTCCACCCTGTGATATTAGATTTTAGAACTGTCATTCTATCCCATCCATTCTATTGTACGGTTGTGTGTAACTGCATGTAGTGCTATAACTGCCACATGCATTCAAGCCCCACAGACTCAATTATAAACAAGCTTTGTCGGTTAAAGGATGATTCCTGTGGAGCCTTTAAAACGAAACAATTTAGTTCATCTAGTACCCTGGTGGAATGATTGTCAGGTCATATACATAAGTCGAAGTAGTAGAACAGGGGCAGTCAGACTAGCCTAGCATAAAAGCCTAGCGAAATCTAGATTGGTTGACCCAAATAAGATTAGAAATCTGGAGAATAGTTCAGCTATAGCACTACATGCAGTCATACACAATCATACAATAGGATGGGATAGAATGACAGTTCTAAAATCTAATGTAACAGCAGGGTGGAGGGATAGATTGGTAACAGAAGCTTTGTTTATCGAATCAACTGAAGAGAATACATGTAATAGGAATGATTCAATACCTGTCTGGAAAATTCTACTACCCCTTCAATGACAAATAGGAGAGGACAAAGGAAACTTTAAAGCTCAAGTTTCCAAGTCGTGTGATTATAACTGATATGATTATGAACAATTAAGTTTTTTTCATAACGTCATCCAGTAAATAATACTGATTCACTGTGTGATACATCTAATAAACAAATTAATTAATTACTACCACAGTGTCCAAGTTTTACACATACATCATTAATCTTAACTCTAATTATAATAATAATAATAATAACAATATAGAATTCAAAGCGTTTTGTAGTACTACCGTACAAAGAAGAAACGTCAGAGGCATTACGTAGGATTCTCAAAGAGGCTGAAATTCGGCTGGCATTTAAATCAACCAACCAACTCTTTTAGGGATAAACTTTGTCGGCTTAAGAACACAACAGATCCATTTAAGAAAAAATTACCAAATACCATGCAATTAATGACTGTGAGGTCAATTACATAGGTCACACTGGTAGAACAGGGTCGGTCAACTAGATTATTGAAACATAAAAATTTAGCTAGACCCAGAATGATGATTGACCCTGCCGAGAAAAAAGCTGAACCACTGCATTGCACTACATTCACTTGCATGTAATCTCAATATAAGGTGGGTGGGACAGGTTGAGAGTATTCAAAAGTAATATGGTTGTGTGGAGAGACAGCAAGGTTAATTACTGACGATTCAACACCGCACACGTGTATTGGAATGACGCAACGCCTTTACCGGAGATATGGAAAGTGGCAACAAACAAGAAGGGGGAGAGGGAGAGTCATAAAGAGAGGAAATATATATATAAGACATTTTGTGAAGCCGTGTGACTAAAATTGATATGCGGTTATGGGTGTCAATAATTAATGCTTGAAACCTTGTCATCCAGTTGTTAATACTGCATCATCACTCACTATGGGATATTTTTAAAATAAAATTACCTAATATACAATTAGATTCTACCACCACGATGCTCTACACATACTTAATTAACCCTTATCCTAACCGTTATCATAATTATAGCCCTGATCCTAACTTTAACCCCAATCGTAAACCTAACGAGCTATTAACATATTGTCCAAACAGTATTTAAAAATGTGATCTGGGTTAAATTCGCTCCTTAAAGGGGGAATAACGATCATATTAGCACCGTATTAATGAAAGGCCTCATTATCCAACGATTAGCATGTGTTCAACGTCATTGGAGTGATCACACCCACGCGACATGATAATTTAACTTCGTCAATATATATATATATATATATATATATATATATATATATATATATATATATATATGAACTGTGGAATAATAGTAATAATAATGTCCACGTTTGGGTTGCTAGCTCGCTAAATTTCTAACTGTGATAGAAGCCAGCATAAAATAGTATATCATCCTTTCTCATGAATCGTGTGATTTATCTTGTGATGGAGTTACTATGACGATATATCATTTCTCACGCATAGTGTGATTTAGTGTGTGATCAATTCATCATCTTCTGTCTCACCTTGGTCTTTGTTGGATCGCCAACCAATGAGAATAGGCATTGCCAGCTAATAAAAAAACAATCCATTCTCACACCGCCTTTATATATGGTATAGAAAATGCATTAATATCAAGCGTTGTTTCTTGAACCATATAGTATAGTAATAATACAATATCTTCCTACAGTTGCAGGCCAGCCTTTGTCTTTTGATATTTGCGTGGTTCAGTGAATCGGAAGATACAACGGTCGGATAGACGTATTAGCGTGCCATTCGAGTTGATTACCGTTTTAGTAATTAACAGGCGTAGACATAACAAAGTAGCAACTGATTTATTCAGTTCAGTTATGACAAAATGGTCGTAAGTCTAGGGAAAGTGGGACATTTGGGCGTAGACCTGGCTCCCCTACGCCAGCAAATCAATCAAAATGCTACAGAAACTTCAACGCACTCGAGCAATGGCTTGCGTTGCTCACGATTTGGTTCGATAGGCTTTTCAATGTTTGCCCGATCAATGCATTTCCATTTTCTCCCACATATTAAAACAATTAGTCCCTTTGATAAATTTGAATAAGGCATTAAGAAGACAAATTTCGCGAGATGATGTCGTCATTTCGTAGTTTCTTTACAAACGCTTTACAACTAACATGGTTAACAATAATAAAATAAAGCGCATGACAATTATTCAGTTAAATAAGAAAACAAAAGTGTATACTAATGACCAATCATATTTAGATAGGTCATGTAGTTCATGGTAGGCGAAGATTGAAGTCTATTTTTTTGTACACATAGAGTACAGGATGTATGTGATTAATTTTCCCAAAGTGCTTCCATCACCTTTAAGCAACCAACCTTGAATTAAAGTTATGTGATGAAATAATTGTGAAGCAGTCATTAATTTTGACTTTGTGACCTGACATTAATCATAAGTGCTTTGCAATGGATGGAGATGATTGATTTCTATTCAGATTAATTGCATCAGAATTTTCTACGTGTTTTAATAACCATTTTGGAACATGTTCTTTTCGACGACCACATTGGAACATTCTGATGGTTCTACCTATATAGGTGTCACCGCAGCTGCAGGTGTACTTGTAGATACAGTTTGAAGTAGGGTTCACAGAATTTCCTTCTTTAATCGTAGGTACAGGGATTGAAAATATTCGGCAAATGAGAAAAAGAGATGCGGCGTAGAATGTGCGTGTGACGACTGACCAAAGTCTTTGAGCCGTCAACTGCATGATCTGGTCGCCCTTGAATGGTAGATTAATAAAGATAGCTTTATTTGGCACAGAAGCTGTCTTTTCGAGATAAGGTCTTTCTTTAATGTGACAAGTGATAAAGTTTTCCGGATAACCATTAGCTAATAAAACTGAATGTATATGTTGAAGCTCATCCATCAATGTGTCACTCGTGCATATTTTTCGAGCCCTTGAGAACAAACATTTCATTAGGGAACGTTTATACTGGATAGGAACAAAAGTGGTAAAATGAAGATATTGTCCACTCCAAGTATGTTTACGAAAAATAGATCGCTGAATCGTTCCATCATCTCTACTAGTCATAGTAATATCCAGGAAACCGAGTTTATTATTCGATTCTAGTTCGGAAGTCAGTCGGATATTTGTATGAATATGATTAAATAAGGCCATAAAGTTTTCAATAGATTTACTATTAATACCAATAATGAGAGTATCATCCACATGACGTTTATACAGCATAAATTCTCCAAGCACACCTTACATTTGTTTCTCTAATTTCGACATGAAAATATCTGCTAACCGGAGTCCAAGAGGGCCCCCCATCGCAACACCATCGACATGTTTGTGTGCCTTTTATTTGAAGGTGAATCTTATATTTTCTGTACACATTAAGAGGATGTCTTTAATGTAAGTTACAGGAATAGGTAAGTTTATCTCATTGCTTGTGATGTAATCGCAAATGAAATCAACAAATTCATGTAGAGGAACATTGGTGAATAAAGATTCTATGTTAATTGAACACATAACCTTTTCTTTAATTTTCAAGGTGTCTAGCATATCTGTCAGATCAAATGAACTGTTTACAGAATGATTTGATATTGAGTCTCTTACAGGCGTAAGGACCTCTGTAATCCATTTTGCGATTTTATCGTAAGGAGAATT